CCGTGGTCTGTTTGACGTGGGATTTTGGGCTTGTGGGCAGTTTCGTGGCTCAGATCTCGCTCGTAGGGTTGCAGTCTGGGAGAGGCGAGGAGTGACTGGATCATGGAAACTGAATTTGTGCCCTAGGAAGGGAATTTTTTTCCAAATCCAAGCTGAGGCATGACATCAGGGGGATGGGGCAGGAACTCGTGCTGCTGGGTCATACCTCTTTGGCTAGAAGACTTGAGAAAGGGCTGCCACTTCTTGTCTGAGTCCAGTGACAGGTAGTGACCACGACGAAGGGCTGCCTCACGACAGATCCCTAAGGAGAACTGAAGTGACTCCAGCCCCCTCTGCCTCGCTGGCAGCACTCCAAAACCGTAATCCGAGAGAATTTAAAAAGCTTTTGACTGGGTGATCTTCTGGACACGTGGCCTGGTGTGACCAGGGATTGCAGTTGGCGCTGCTTGATTTAGAACCGATCCTTCTCGCAGGTAACTTGGCAACGCTTGCTGAGGCATTGGAAGGCACCCTCCCCTACTCTTATCCTCCCCCCCTTTTTTTTTTTAAATAAAAAAACCTCCCTGACCAGTTTCCCCATGTTTCATTTTTTTTTTTTTTAAAAATCTTGGTTCTTTCTGCACTGTTTGCAGGAGAACGGAGCCAGCACGATCCTACGCGACATTGCCAGAGCCAGGGAGAATATCCAGAAATCGCTGGCCGGAGTGAGTACCCAAGCTCTCTCACCAGCTGGCTACCCGCAACCATTTTTAGCTGTGGTGCATCTCACAGACCTCTGCTGTCACCACTTCGTAGATTGTGTGGCTTCTTATTTTTAAGTGAGAGGAGAAGACTAAGGTGTGCAGCGCCGTGTACCACCGGCGTAGCTCCATCCCATCAAGAGCACCTTGTTGCTACTGGAGTGCATGCTGCTTACTGGCTTGCTCGCCTCGCAGTGCTTTTTCAAACTAACTGGTTTCGGGTTCAAATTCTTCAACTGTGCATTTCTTGACTTTTTCTCCTGGTGGAACGTGAGAGTTTGTTCCCACCAGTCTGATCTGACACGTTTCTAGTCGCTGTTAAAACAACCTTGCTGGGTGGCGAAGCACTGAGCTGCCAGCAGGAGTGTGTATGTCTCTTTTGGGGTACACTGAGCTGCCACCTTCTTTTTCTTGTTTTGCTTTCAGTTAGGGTATGTGCAAAAAAATGGTATCTTCCATCTGCTGCATCTAGGGAATTCAGCTTGGCTGCTAGCTCCTAAGTCTGGACTATCCTACAGAAATTCAGTAATGTCCTTTCTGGAAGTTTGGGGTTTTTTTGATATGTACAGACAGCACTGTTAAAACTCTTAATTTTTTTCAAGAGGCAGCTGAGATCTTAAATTAATAAGTGGATTGGCTTTGTGGGTGAAGAAAATTCACAGAATACAGCCCATGGGTCTTGATTTCTTACTCCTGCAGTGGCACTGCCACGTACCTGCCCATACCTTCCACCTGAGGGCATCTGTCCTTTATTGATTTGGCCTCATGACTGAAACTGAAATAAAACCTCAAGTTTTGCAAGCTTTTTTCAGATTCAGGGAAAAAAATTGGAGCTTTTGTGTCATTTTGTCATCCCTGGTGGGGTATTTACACCCTCAGTTTCCATCTAGATCAGTAACAGGGAATCGAGCCTTTCTCCAGGGGAATGTTTCATATTCCTCAACACAAGCAGAAAGCAGCCGTGCATTTGGGGTGGATACAGAGGAATTGAGCTCGTTGCTTTCCCCATGATGGTCTCGGTGCTCCTGTTGAGTAACTTCTGCAGCCTCTCATGGGAGTGATCCGAGATACTTGGTACCACACTGGAAACTTGGATGCAGGTGCAGGAAGAGCAGGGCAAGTTTGATAAAAGGGTAGTGGGGAAAGGATTAAATTTGCTTTGATTGGATTCAGTGGTGCTGGATACAGCGTGGGGATCAATGGGAAGTTGGGACATTTAGATTTAGATTGGATCTAAGGAAGAAATTCTTCCCTCTGAGGGTGGTGAGGCGCTGGCACAGGTTGCCCAGAGAAGTTGTGGCTGCCCCATCCCTGGCAGTGTTCAAGGCCAGGCTGGATGGGGCTTTGGGCAACCTGGTGTAGTGGAGGGTGTCCCTGCCCATGGCAGGGGGGTTGGAACTGGACGATCTTTGAGGTCCCTTCCAACCCAACCCATTCCATGATTGTATGACATCATCATAATATTGAAAACCAAACCAAAACACACTGAAGAGGAAAATACTTGGACGTTTTCTAATGCCAGTTTCTTACTACAGCATCAGTGTTTCAGCTTCGGGAAGATTTTCCTGACCTGGCTCACTTCAAGTTCAGACCTGAAATAACATGGTTGAGCTTTCGGTGGAGACTGTCAGCCCCTGTCAAGGACTTGTAGTTTGGACTTTAGCAAGGCAAATACGTGGGGAAACGAGCCCCTGTTGCAAACAGAGTTGAAGAACGCTTTGCACAGTGTTAAATGCTTTTGGAAAGGTGTTTCCAAGCTGGGCAAGGTTGTTGCTTCCTTCAAGACCTGCCTCCTCCAGGAGCAGAGGCTGGATGTGGGTGAGGAGGGACAGAAAACCTAAATACGAATCGCCTGGCAGTGCTGCTGCTCTGCCCTGAGGGCATGTTCTCATCTGGCAGAATGGTCTGTGGTTTACCAAAGATGAGAATTTTCTTGCCCTGGCCTGTAAGTGCTGTTAGAAGAGCTTTTGTGTGAGGAGCATGTAAGATGGGATCATGCAGGTCCTGTAATGGAGAAGACTGAGGGAACTGGCAAAGCACCAGACCAAAGCCGGAACAGAAATTTGAGAATATAAAGCCCTTTGCACCCCTGTGGCACTTGGGGTTAGTGCTGAATATAAAAAAATAATTTCATCTGCTTGATTTTTTTTTTTTTTTTTTGTTCCTGTGAAGAAAGCTTGGCAGGCTTGAGGATTTCGATGATCTTGAGGGTCTCTTCCAACCAAA